GGGTATAGAGATCAAGGACGAAGGGCACCCATCTATGTCCCTCGAGAGGTAGACGACTGAGTGAGACAACTGGCCGACCCGATTTGTTTCGCCCCACTTCTCCACTTGAACTCTGAACTTTGTTAACTTTTCGTTTTTTATTTCGTGTGAACAAGTCCTATTGTGATCTTTTCTTCTTTTAATCTTGATGTTGGATAGTGTTATGTGTAATAACCTCGCCTTGTGCGAGTATGTTTGTGTGTTTGCTTGTGTTTACTTCTTCTTTGTGAAGCTCCCATCGTCTACCCCGGTCTATGTTCAACTTTCTCTTGCCAATGTTTGGTAACTTCTTCTGCCTACCCTTATTCTCCATTGCGGACAATGTCGTGCTTAAGTGTGGGGGTGTATCAATTGTGATTGGCATGTGAATGTTTGTGAATGTTTTATCAAAGTGGTCGGTTTGTGGAGAATCTTGTGTTTATTGGAATTGACTTTGGATTTTTTACTTGCGATAGAGTGCATCCTATTATAATGATTGAGAATTGCATTAGGTTCTTGCAAGTTTTTAGTTCTCATATATGCAAATGTATGGATTCGTTGACTTGAATACTCATTGATTTCAATTGCCATGCATCAAAATATTGAAATTGGAATGGATGATTGAGCGGCTAGGTAGCCATGTGAGATTTGTGCCGATCATCTTTTTCATGTGTGATAGATCCCTCTTACCATGATGTGTAGTATTCACATTGTCATTAGAGAGGAAGATGGAGGCATAGGATTAGTCCACTCCCCAAAAAGTGCATTGTCCCGATCTTTATATCCCCTAGTCAAACCTTTTGAGTCGTGTGACTTAGGGTCGTTCTCATTTTAGGAGCTTTTGTAATACGACCCTGGGGGGGGGGTGTATTTTTATCAAAGTAACTCAGCAAACAATCAATCCAAAGATTGATTGAACTCGAATCAAGAACAACGTGTTCTTAATACGAAATTGGGATAAAACGGAACCAACGGACAATTCCACAACTGGGGAAAGCTCGTATGGTATAAAAGGGTAGCTGCTCGACCACGATTGAAGAGGATATTCAATCGATACAAAGCTCACAAGCTTGGAATCCACCAAATCCAAAACAAGTTCGCAAACTTGCAAAACCAAACGGTTTCTTTTCTATTCAATCAACTCTTTATTTTACAACGAAATAGAACGGTATTTAAAGGCAAATAAAACCTAATAAAATCCTAATACAACTAGGAAAAAATTAAGGTAAAATTCTACACTAAAAAGGACACAAAATTCGGGTTTAAACTCCTTTTCTTCAAGCGCAAGTAAGCTGCCAGCAAACAGTCCAAAAGCAGCTTTCGTACTCACTTCGCGCCTTTCGTTTGAGGCCTTCCAGAACTCCAATATTTCATTCGATTCCTTCCCTTGGTAGATAAACATACCTAGTTTCATGTTGTGGAAGCCTTTGGACTTGAATAAGATCCATACTCCTCGAATTAAGATCCAAAGTAGGCTTCACAAAACAGTTTCCTGCCTTGGCCATTTTCAGGCAGTTTTCCAGCTTTGAGGTAGCAACTTTGAGGCCTTGGAAAACAACCTTAATGACATCATATGGATCCACAAAGCATATCATTGGAAAGATGGAAACTTTATCTACAAAACAAAACCTTAAACTTGAATTTACACCAATCCAATTGAGAGAACTATGCCTCCAAATATGTACCCTGAACACGGATTTTGACTTAGCCAAATTCTGCCCTTCTTCTTCTCAACTTCGTTAGCTTCTTCATCAAGTAATTTTGGCTTGTTGATTAACCGAGTTGGAATCATATCATTTTGCTACCTGAACTTAATTGCGATTGATAGATAAACCCATTGCTTTCTTCGTGTCTAAACCGTTGTAAGTCATCCTTGTGTCTCGGAGCTCCCATTACTTGAGTTCCATTAAGGTTCCACATTGGTGAGTTTTGCACGGTTCCTACTAAGAATGAAAAGGTAGTGTTGGATGAAGTTATTGATGGTGAACATTGTTAATAAGCTTAAAAGTTGGCGTGTGTTTAGCTCTCTAGTACCCCCCTCAAAAAAATAGAAAGAAAAAGGAAAAGAAAAAGAAAGGAAGAAAGAAAAAAGAAGTGAAATGAGGAAATAAAATGGGTAAATAAAAGTTAGAGAGTTGCCACCAAGTTGATGTGTATGCTTTAGAAAGGTGCTTCTTGGCACTCAAGCTATCAAAACACATACTTGTTTGTTGACCTCATTCACTACCATGCTTGAAAAATTGGATAGCAGGTTTAGCCGAGAAAGTGTGCTTGAATGTCGTTCAGGATTGGTTGTGGTTTGGAATTGAGGAAGTGTGATTTTTGGCCAATGCTAGTGGCCATTCCTTATAGGAAAAGATTCTAGTTGAAACCATAGAACCTTGTGTTGGTTTTAGGTTGAAGATGTACGTGGAACCTTATGCTATGTTTTCCACTACCCAAAAAGCATTTTCTCAATGTCCAAGACAATAGTTAGTCATCTAACCCATGTCTAAGACCTCCAGACAAGCTAGTGACGACAACCATCTTGTGAACTCTAACATTTAGAGGTTATCATCATGGTGAAGAGACGATAGGGCTGAGTGTTGATTATGCACATCTCTTGCATCAAATGGTCCCGACCCCACTAGTAGATCGTGAGTGACTCTTTCACATTCTCATGTTCATATTTTGCATCCCGGTGAGGACCTAGCTCGCTCATTCGTTTATTTCCAGGGCTTGATCTCTATGCGTGGATAACTGCGGTTTGTGAGTGGTCTTGTAAACTCATGTGTTGGTTTGTGAACAAAGTGATACCTTTTCGTTTGCACGTTCTTAATGCATTCGAATGTCGTTTTTGGTTGTTCTTGGTATTGCTTGTGAATTGTCCATGTGTTGATGCCCAATAACCATTGAGATTCATCCACCTTGAGCCCTTTCATATGTCCCCAAGTCATTGGTTTGAGGTTGAGATATTACCTTCTTTGAGATTCGGTTGCTTGGGACAAGCAAACATCCAAGTGTGGGGGAGTGATTCGGGTCTAATTGTAAATGTTCTCACTCCATATTTTTGAGGCATTTACATCGCATTAGGTTCAATATTACGCTAGGTTGTGCATCTTTCCTACATGTTTCAGGTTCTAGTAGGTGATAGTGGCCTTGGGAGCAAAAGTTGAACGAAAGGGGGCGAAAGCGGGTCGAAGGGAACAAAAAAGCGAGGATCATGGTGGAAGCACAATTATCACGATCAGGTCGACCGTGATAAGGAGGTCTCGCAGACCTAAATGACATCACGGTCACCAGACCGTGATAATCTCCTGGAGACCTTGAAGACCTTAAATGAAACTGCGCACTTTTGTCCGAGATCATGGTCCAAGCTTCCAGATCACGATCGTGATCTGGGACAATGAAGTGCTCACAAACTGGGTATAAAAGGACGATGGATCTGAAACTTTAGGAGAGCCTAGTGAGAGAATACCTTCGTGTTCATATTTTAGAGAGAAACGACAAACCAAGAGAGAAAGAGGTGCTCTAGGGTTTGCTCCAAGCTTGAAGATTGGGGATTATCACATTCCAAGGGCGATTTCTACAACAAAGAAGGAAGCTACATACCACACCATGGTTCTTCTTCTTCTCTTTGTTGTAATCACTAGTTTGACTATGAAGTAGTACTCTTTTTCACTTGGGTATTGTAAACCCTAGCTTTAGATATGTGATAGATTGTATGAATTGAATGCTATGTGTGTGGGTTGTGTTTAATGCAAAGTTTGAGGTATTTTCAGAATGCTTGAGTTGTGTTCTTAATTTTCATTACCATGCCAATTTGGCCTAGGTGGAGAGAAACCCCCTTGTTTCCTAGAGGCTTTGAGAATCCATTTGGGTCACCTACCTAGTGCAATTTAGGGCAAGCCTTAATTTTCAATTTAACACTTTTACTTGGTTGTTATCTTGTCTTCCAGATTAACTTCTGAGGGAGTACCCTTAGCAACCCTTGGTTGAGTGGCCATGAGAGCTAGTTCGCTAGCTTCAATTGTTGTGCCTTGGCCTATCACCCAAGAGAGTGAAGTTTCTTCACTAGTTGCGCTCTCCTCACGGTGTATGAGTACATTCCTACACATTGGCATTATATTCGGTCGATCTTGCTTGTTTCAATCGTAGACCTTAGTTTTCACTAAAAATCGATTGCTAGATAACGTTTTAAACGATTGAAGTAGGGATACATGAACCGACTCGGGTTGATATTTTAAAACGCTTACCCTATACTACACCCTACTAGAGTTTATACTTGGACTCTAGGCGGGATTTTATTGTGGTAGTTGAAGTGAGTCAGGAATGGTTCGATTGGTGGTACAATCGATTTGTATCGATTCATGCTGGTTTAAAAAATATCTAAAAATATGAAAAGTCATTAATATTAAATGAATTTAACTGTATATATAATATATATTTGAAGATAATTTACTTACAACTCATATTCGTATTTAAATAAAATATGACACTCCAAATAAACTATAAAATAAACATATTTAAAATAAAATATTTAATATCAATACCTAAATGTTTATAATTGACGCCGGCAAATAACATAAATATTTAACTTTTAAGTTCATGAAATAAAAATAAATTATTTTTTTATTAATTAAATTCATTTAAACAACATTACTTTGCTTAGAGCGTAAATCAATCATATCGTCGGAGGGGTGTTTCACAAATGAGTGGAGATGAGTGGAAATATTAAAAATAACTAAATGTAATTATAACTTTTTAATTGATAGTTAAGTCACTTAACGACTATAATCATCGTTGATGTAACGAGATTTGAAGGGAGTGATTAATAAAGAAGAGAAATATTTATGATAGTAAACACACTAAAAGTAGATAAACTAAGTGACAAAATATGTAATTTAGCCAAAATATAAATGACAATTTCTCCAACAATTCTAAAAATAATATTACATGTTGGTCAGACTAACAATTGGAGGAAGAAAGACCAAAGATAACCACAAAAAAGGAACTATTTCTTGATTTCCCCCCTTTCTACTATCTGTGTTATTAGGGTTATTTAATAAGAAAATTAGCCCTGCTCATCAATATCATCAATAGCCTGGGGGTTTATGAACAATGCACTAACACTAGAAACTTCTGTTTCTACCATACATTATCGGATTGAAGTCTTAATAATAAGGTTGGGTGACTGCTAGTTTACATCTTTATCTTCAAGCCATTTTGTAAAATGCTTCAAAGCATCTTCCATCCATTTATGTCGGCAACTCTCAACTGCCTCGGAAATAGGTAGCCAGCTCCTTGTACGAGTACTTTGCTCTGGCCATGACTGCAGCTCTTCTTTTACATACAATGCAAACATGGCAGCTTTACACAACCCTTCGGGGCAACTGTCATCCTGGTGTGTTTTACTCTTGAAGTGATAATCCCCTATAAAATCCTGCCAACCAATGCAACATTAACATAAAATGCACCAGAATTTTTGGTTTGAACCAAAACATCATCTTGCAAGGAATATATTGCAGGTAAAATCTTACCAATATATCACCTCGGACTCCAGCTTCTTCTATAGCTTCCCTCACTGCCGCCTCTTTAACAGTTTCATCGTTCTCCCAACCTCCCTACATATTCGTATTTGATATTTACTTATATATAGATAACTACTCTTTCTATTGCTTAAGGTTTTTCATTGCACACACTTAGAAAGGTTTTATTACACAACTTATTTGCAAAAATTTCGGAAGGCATCTTTCTAAAAATGGCATACAGAACCCTTATATAGATTTGTTAAACAAACAAAGTTAATAGAATGTCACACCCTCATAGCAATACTTCATCAACGAAAGAAGTCACTGAATTTATGTTATTCCAATATCCAAACCGCATTATGAATCAACATGAGATGGGACTTAAAAATCCTAGACACAACGTAAATGAATGCAGTCCTCTAGCAACATGGTTACTCACATGATCACTTAAAAGCAACATGAAGTATAAATGTAAAGGAGATATTTTCAAGTTTAGTGGGTAAGTGAAAAGGGGAACAACATATATAATACTTCATACAACATGGAAACACTCATAAACAAAGGAAATAAGCAAACAGTACAATTCGGCTAGAGGAGTCTTGCAAAAATATACCTTAGGGAACAGTAAACCAGGACCACTGGTGGAGTTGATCATGAGGACCTCAACAATTTTCTCGGAATCAGTATCAGCATTCTCATCACACTCTCTGTACCGAAATGGGATACACCTGCAGATATAACTTGCCACGTTAGTGAATCACGAATAGTTTCAAAATGCTTCTACAAACATGAAACAATAGTCAGCAATCATTCCCCCAACTTTCACACAAAGCGATCATTTAGTTACCAACCAAACAAAAACTGGGAACTCACCCCTGCTAAATGGGGAAAATCCTGATCCTATTACTACATCCATCCCATTACCATTATTCATTAGCAAATACAATCCTTCATTTCCTCATTTTCCATCTTACCAACACCATATAAGCGTTATGATGGTTGACGTTTCAATCTCCCTCAGGTTTTATAGATCAAGAGTTCCATCTTTCATGCCATAGCTAAAATGGAAGGAAACCTCCAACCTCTGAACTCTTTTAGTTGTATAATCAAGCATTCCACCACGAAATGGCTTCCTAAGGACATACGGACATTTATAACTAGATTATTGTACACCCTCGATATGATTCCAGAGTCATGTTGCTAAAGTAGTTGCATCATTGGATAAAAAATATCTTGTGAGCGACTAACCCGTTCTTGATGGATACTCCCAGACTAGAATGGAATTCAGAACAAATCAAGAATGCTTCTTGCAAATGGAAAGACAGACAAAAAGCCATAAACAGAAACATGATATCATGAGTAATGGGAAACCATGAGGCGAAAGAAAAATGAGAAAGATATCATTTCTGAACTTTCCAAGTAAATTGAACAATAAAGAACAGAGTTGCCCCTCCGATCTGAAAGGCTATCTAATTCAGATTCCAGACCATTCAACATGGTTTCATTATCAAACTTTGGCCAAGAACAGAAAAGGAACAGAAAAGCGAGACGAAAATGTTGTGATAGATGTTAACTAAGCCAAACCACTCCTGAGACTAATATTTCACAAATCTACTACCATTCAAAAGAAAGGTGGATAGCCTGTCAATGACCAGCCACAATAATATCTCAATACCGCTATTACACCCAAAATGCTAATTTTCCACAAATGTTTGATGGGTAAAAAATTATCCAATTGAGACTAATTCCACAAACGAATGAAGCCACGAATCAACAAAAAAATTATTATCTATTATCTGACAACAAAGTGAAAACGTATCGACGAAGTGCGCCATTTTCTGTCAAATTGTTGTTATCAACCAAAGGATCAAGAAACAACAATAACCCATATCATATGAGAAAAAGACATGAAGGAAAGAACCAATCACATCAGAAACCAGAGTACTATTGGAATTGAAAAGAAGAGATTTGTTGTTACCCAGCCACAAGGCGACAACCTCCCTCGTACCGTTGCTGATGTCGACCAGTTCGAGCAACCAATTCAGACATTATAGATGAACAGTAGAAACCAACAACAAGAGGTAACCCAGAAAAGAAGGAAGGACCAGGAAGAAGAAAAGCATAAACAAAGGAGAGAAGGGGAGATACGGAGAAGGAACGAGTTTAGGTTGGCCCTGCAGCGGTGAGTTGGGGGATGCTCAGAACGAAAGGGAACACCATTATTGAACACAGGAGAAGAAGAGCGGTGTTATTGGCTAGGGGTGGAAGCATTTCTGAGAATGCTGATGCTTGGAAAGGACAATTATGTGCCCGCCCTCGTCAAGCATTGTTAGTTGCGTGTGGCGGACGGTGGTGTGCGGAGAGGCGATTAACCACGGTTACTAAACTTTCTTCGATCCAAAATTTGGGAGAAAGTAGGGCGTGTTGGTTGAGGTTACCGGTTTAGTCTTGCTTTCTTCCTTTGTTCTACTACTTTTTCTTTTCTTAATTTTTCCTTTTTCCTTCTTTATTTTTTCTTCGTTTTGTGGGAACGAAAGATCAAGAGAAGGTGGTGGGGAGAGGGAAGTTCTGAAGCATTACGATTTGGAAAAATATTGAAATGAATGAATTGAAAGAGAAAACTCAAAATTGAAAACAGGGATGAGAATCCTGTAAAAAAAAAAAAAAAAACAGGGATGGGAGTTGGGTGGGAGAGATAGATCAAAGATGGTTTTCCGTGGGGAACTGGAAGGAAAGGAAAGATGGAGAACCCGAACAAAAAAGAGAGAGAATAGCGCATGAAACGGATCGGACGGTGGGGATAGTCAAAATCACGTGGCCTTGAAAGGTCCAGTTTGGCTGGCCCACTTTCTTTTTCAGTTATGGCTAATAAGTATTAAATGTATAAGACCATCTTATATATGGGAATGATCAAATGAGGGATAACTATTTTTTTATCTACACTATAATTAACTAGCTTTGTGATCGGCGATTGACCGGATAATTTTTATTATGAATAATTATTTAACATCATAATAAAAAAAATTCAGTTAGTCAATATTTTATGTTAATGCTCTGTCTGTAATAATAAAATTTGTATTTTTAACATGAGACCCACTGTAGTTTCATCTAAATTTTGACAAGATATCAACGGAATTTTTCACTCAAGACGTGTTATCCTCATTCAGTAAATTATGGTAAACTACCATAAGAAACTTATACCTTTTCTTTTGTAAAATTATTTAATCATGTTAACAAAATAGTTAACCGTTAATGATCAATGAATTCTTACTCTCGTATTAATTATTTATTTATTTATTTTTAATCTCATATATTGATGTATCTCCAAAAATTCTAGTTTAGACCCTGCTCTTAAGGATTTTTTTTATTTGCTCACATGTGTTTACTACAAAGTTCGTAACTATAAATTATATTAATATTATAAATTTTTTGTGACATAACAATATCCTCAAAAACTTAATTTGATCTCGAAAAGGAATAAACATCTCAGTATGCATAAATCAATAGTATTTTTTAAAAGGTTCAAGAAATAGTATCGGAGGTTATACCAGAAAAGTGAACTGTAGGGTATTTTGTACTAAAACCATGTTTTAACCGTGATTGAATCGTTTCCTACCCCTAAAGTCACCTAGCATTTTGGGTTCGGTATTAGGTATTTTCGGTCCGATCGGCCGGTACGGTAGCGTTTCCTAAACCTTGTTATAATTCAATAATTTAACTATAACAATAGTTTAAGGATAATCATTTCATTATGAGTTTGAGGGAAAACTCCAGGAATTTTATTATGGCTCAAATTAGCATCATTACAATCAGCAAGTAAAGTGGGTATTAGGAATATGGGTGGTCTTTTGAGCCAAATTGGTAACATCCAAATTGGTGTTATTTTTCCTTTATATTTAGGTTTGTTTCGTACTAATTCGTGTGCATAATCGTTAGAATATCGTTGATTGCATCCCTATTTCATTCTTATTTGATCATGATATGATTTTAGAGTGCTTTAGACAATACATGTGAATTAGGTACGAAAAAGGTGCACAAGTGTAGAAAAGGGGCAAAAACAAAGATCATGACCGATGGAGCCAAGATCCCAGCCTTCAAAGCCAAGATCCCAGCTATGAAGAGAGGGCATGAAATAGAGCACAAGATCGCAGCCTAGAGTGCAAAGATCCTGGTCGCGATCTTCTAATGCTAGCCCGTGAACTTGACCTAAAATTGCAGCCTCACGTTCATGAGCGCGAGCTTTGGATTCAAGGGTGTGAACTTCATAAGAGGCCAGCTCGGGAGAAGCAGAAAGTTTTCCCATTTGAATCACTGTCCACAGCTTCCGTGCCCGCAATAAGGATCGAGGTTGTGACACCCCGGATCGCGACCGGGATGTTAGGCTGCGAACTCCACATTTAGCAAGGCCAAAATGGTGACCCTCAAAGATCACAGCCTCCACCTCAAAGATCCCGGCCGCGATCTTCAGCCTCTCGCCCGAGAACTTGCCCTTAAGATCAAAGCCTCAAGCTTGGTGGGGGCAATCTTCATCCCCTTGGCTTCGAACTTTCCCATGTCTGCAGAACTCTATAAATAGGGGACTCCTCCCCCTTTAGAAGATCTTAATTGTTCCCAAGTGGAGGAACACATTTTTGAAGAAGGAAGAGTGGTTAAAGATGAATTTGAAGGAGCAAATGGAGTCCAAGATGAGGACGAGGTTGTGGTGGATGAAGCTTCTACAAGTTACAAGTGCTACGAAAGCTGTCCACCTGACCTCGATGCACTTTTTACGAAGGACCCATTTGCGGCTCTTTGCCAAGCCAAGGCCAAACCATCGATGATCCCTCTTGATGGATGCCGTGGAAATCAATCAAGATTGTATTACATGGTATGGGGGCAAAGAGAAGAGAGATGAAGAAAAGAAGAAGAGGTCTCGTGGGTGGATACACAATTCTTACCAAGTCGACGGGTCATTCACATCATTTGAAGCATCCAATGCTCGAGACTTTAGACACCACCTCACCGATGAGAACTTCGACCTCAAGGAGGTTCTAAGTTGGATCGAAATACTTGAAGATAATCGTCTGCGATAAGACTTGAAAGACGCACTAGCTGGGAGGTACCCCAACAACCGGTTTTCATTTTCTTACTTTTCGAAAATAAAACTTGCAAGTTTGATTTTTCTTTAAGTAGTTTTTATAGTTTTAGCTAGTAAATGAATCCCTTCTATATTAAGAATAGAATGAAAGATTATTTGGAGACTAGCTAGTTGCTTTAGGAATGGTTGCAAATGTTGTTGTTAAGTAAGTGTGCTAGCCTACCACTTAAGCTACTTGGGTTAATAGAATGGCATGGCTAGCACAATAGGATCGTAGAATGTATATGTGTGTTTGGAGGCCTTGGTGGGCTTTATTTTTATGAATTTGTGGAGTTTGAATGTCGCCAACCAAGTGCTCGATGAAATGCCCAAAGCACATAAAACTAGTTTTTATTGATCCATTGCTTATCAATTGAACTTGTTTGATCATGATAGACCCTTAGGAGTGTGTTTATGAATTAGAATTGAATCCTTGATGCATGTCCCTTGAGTTTGAAATTTTTGCTCGTGTTTGATTGTGTGCTTCATTATGCTTTTAGAGCCAAGAGTTCAAGCTTTGGTTGTTGTCTAATGAGTTGATTCTAGCCTTCGGTTGGGGTTTACAAACCTCTTGAAAAACATGGCACCCTTGTGTTCATGCATCTCGACCTCAACCTTGGTCGTTACAACATGCATTTCTACCTATGCAACTCTAGTTTCTACATTGTAACGCATAATTGCGGGGGTGTATAGAGTGAACCTAAGGATGGATTTTGTTGTTCAATTGATCTAGTGAGTTGCCTAATGGTTTGTTTGAACAAGTTTTGTGATTTTTCTCGTCTAATGGTGATCCAACCGAGGGTGAAAGTTCTAGTTCTCTTAGCCATCAACAATGAAGGAACCGGAACCGCCAAAGAACCACAATTTCCAAGAGAATGACCATAACCTCAAATCAAGGAGAAACCACCACAAGCACAATAAAGCAACCAATGGAGGCGACTACGAGCTATGATGGACCACAATTTCTATCTTTTATATGTTTTCCTTTTTAAGTAATTAGTATGTTTAGTAACATCTGTGTGTGGTTGATTAGTTTTTATATTTTGTTTATGGATAACCCATTCTTCCTCTCTTATGTGTGTGCTTAAATGTTAATTCGCTAGACCAATGAAGACCTAAACTTGTCCACACTACTCAACCCACAAACACATATGGTAACGCTTCTTGAACCTTACATTTAGTGAGGACAATGTACCTCTTATGTGTAGGGGGGATGCATTGCATGCCTTAAAAGTTCATGATGAATACGCCATGAACATTTAGTAGCCTCACTTAATTATGAATGTAAGACGTTGATCATTGCTTATGGGAGTGAATGCTACCGATTGAATGTGTTTTGTGGTGTTGAATGGCTTACAGATTATGTTTTGGAACCTTGAATGCTACACCCTTTAATGCTATACAAAAAAAAAACTAAATTTGAGGTTCAAAAATACCTTGTCTCTTGCAACTTTATACTCAATATGCTTTGAATTTATAGATGATTGATGTGGTCTGCTTACTAGGGAGTAGTTGCATGAGTAGAGTACCGGTTTATGAGGGGTTTTACTCTCTTATTCCTCTTCAGTGGGTTGATAATGTTTGATATCTTAGCAAGAACATGTGTACGTGATTCTCCATCATTTTTTAACTCTCAAATTTACAAAGAGGCTCTCACGTGAGAGGCAACCGAGCATAGTGTTTGACATATACCGGCTCGGAATTCCCATTGATGATATGTTTTAGGACTGAATAGCTTTACCGTGTTCCGATCATCTTTCACTACTTACCATCCCCCAAGCATCTTTCCTTCTCACGGAATCGTACGGCAAGGTACAAAGTATCTTTTAGCGATTCAAGAGATCTCAAAGCTCTCATTTGTACCCAACATGTGTGGCAACCCAATGTGGATGCAGACTGGGAAGTGGTGCTCAGGCTAAGACGAATCCGCCCATCACCTTCCCCACATGTGACCTTGAAAGGGAAGGCAATGATCCATTCGCTCTTGGGCATGAGGGAGATATGCTTTCTTGCAAAAGAATTTGCAAAAGTTTGGTGCGATGTGCGTTAACGTTGGAAAAGGAGACAAATAAAAGACAACTCCTAAGCTGAAAGAAAAAATAAAGAGCACCCTCAGGAGTTCTTGTGCTTAATTTTTGATTGAGAAGTCCACTGGTACACACTTTGAATGTTCGTCCTAAGGTCGTAAGTATGATACTCACCATGGAGTTTGTGCGTGCACACTAAGATGACAGTAGCGTTCATTCATCTTTGTCTACTCTTCTTTATGAAATGAATAACTAGGGTGGATCCCCCGTTGATTTTTCTATCAAGTTGCATTGGATTCAGTAGGTTTTCATGGGTACATGAAGAGAGGGCATGAACCATAGCACAAGATCAAAGCCTGCTGTGCAAAGTTCCCGACCGCGATCTTCTTCCTCTCGCTCGTGAAATTGACCTAAAGATTGCAGCCTCAAATTCACGATCATGAACATTGGAGCCAAGGGTGTGTACTTCATAAGAGGCCAACTTGGGAGAAGCAGAATGTTTTCCCAGCCGAATCATGGTCCACAACTTTCGTGCCCGTGATAAGCATCGCGACTAGGATGTTAGGATGCGAACTCCACATTTTGCAAGGCCAAAATGGTGATCCTCAAAGATCGCAGCCCCTACACCCAAAGATCTCAGTCGCAATCTTCTGCCTCTCGCCCACGAACTTGCCTTTAAGATCACAACATCAAGTTCATGGGCGCGATATTCAACCCCTTGCCAGAGAACTTACCCGTTTTTGCAGAACTCTTTAAATAGGGGATTTTTCCCCTTTAGAAGATAGCTTTTGGCATATTTCTAATTCTAGAGAAAGATTAGAGAGAGAAGTTGAAGAAAGGAAAAGAAGTGGAGGAGAGCTTGAAGAAGGATTCCATCACTTGAAGACCATTTCTTTATAATTTCTTCCCCTCTATGTATGTCTTTTCTTCCCCCTTCATGGGGTGATCTCCCAAGGTAGTAGTTTCAGAAGAACAAACAAACAAACACACACACACACACACACACACACACAAAAACGCGAACTCAAAAAAGGTGAAGTTATTACACAAACACAATATTTAAAGTTCAAAGAAAAAGAAAGGAAAAGTAGTTCAAATTTAAACACACGGAAAGCAAGGCGAAGAGTCAAGGTGGAGAGAGATGAGACATGGTAGTATGGTGCCCATCATGGCATTCAAACTCGGTTGTCATCTCTACAGGGTGGCTTCGGCTTAAGAGGAGGAGAGAGGACCCAGTCCAGATCATGAAAGCTGAGTAAGAAGAATTGGTGAGGGGACCTCTGTCGGTGCGAACTCCCCAACGGTCATTGCAGTGGTGGGACCTTCTCTCACTTGGAATCGTCGAACTTACGACCCCGTCGAGAGCTCCAGGATCATCCTCGTGATTTTAGAATTGGTCTAAGATGCCGCGGAAATATGCATCGAGGTCTATTCCATTCTTCGACTTATGCATGCTTGTTCGTTCAGTAGGTTCTGCAACATGGTATGTTGTTGCTCTTGTGCCATGAGATCCTCAATCTCAACAAGCACCTGCATCAATCGGTCATAATTATGCTCTGTTGTTGACTTCCGACCCAGATTCCAGTCAGACTTTGATTGTAACATCCCTGCCCTTGTACAAATTATTATGACGTGTTTGTGATCATGTTACAAAAATTGGTCTTTTGAACCAAAAAGAAAGTGAATAGTGAAAGTTTTAGACTTAATTGCAAGTGAAGGAAAGTTTAGGGCCAAATGGATAATTTGGAGGGCTGGAGAATTCTAGATAAGGGAGATAAAAATCTGCCCCATCCTCTTATCTCTCATTTTCTTCTCATCCCTTCCCCTCACTCTCTCCCACGTCCCTCTCTTGCTCTCTTTCTTCCACCTGGTTTCACCACCCCAAAAACCACGATCCCTTTTCAAAAACAAGTAGTAGATAGATAGAGAGAAAAGGATATCAAGGAAAAAAAGAAGAAGGGAAACAAGGGGTGCTGCCAATTTTCGTCCAGCAGCAGGACAACTTGTGGGAAGGACCATTTTAGACACTTGAGCCGTTGGAACATTCTGATATTTGGAGGTTTTGTTTCATATGTCCTTTTCTACAATTGGACCGTTCGGATCATTGTTATGATCTCTGGTTCATCTAGGAATGTCGCTGGGCAGAAGGGGTGCGACATTGCTTTCCTGTAGCAGGACAGCAGATTAGAGGTAAGATCTTGTACGAAGTAGCCGTTGGATCTTTTTAGAAATTTGGTATAATGTTAAGTATATATTTTTCTTTGAGTTGACCGTTCGGAACTTAGTTTTGATTTCGGAGTAGTCAGGAACAATTGTTAGAAGTAGGGGAATTGGATTGAAGTGAGAAGAAAGTAGCTGACAGTTTCGAAACGTCAATTTAGTTTCAGTAGCAACAAGAATCAACTGATTTGGTTAAGTATCAAGGGAGAAATGACCGAAATGATGAAGAGGGGTAAAGTGTACGGTTGTATGACTTCCCTAGTGGCCTTATCGACATGCATGAACACAACCATGATTTTGATGACTGTATACGTATCTTGGTGCTTGAATAACTTGGAAATCTTGTATATAAAGGTAAGGAGTAAGCCGGGGGCTCATCCAAAGGCAAGGGTATAGCCGAGTGAAGATAAAACTGTGAGTAGATTCTAATCTTAAATCTACTTCAACATAATAACAGTATTCGGGTCATGAAGCGGCCCGAATACATATCGGGGTCATGAAGCGGCTCCGGTATAATATGTGAACTCATGGGAAATGATATGGCTAGGTGATATGGCTTATTGGTGTTTATTCCTTATTTGCATTTGGTATGAAGTTGGAAATGCATGAATTGTGGAAGGGATATGGAAAGACATTTTGTTGGTTGATCTTGTGTATGCCTCTGCAAATTTCTACTGTGCCTCTGCAAATCATTGCTGCCTCTGCAACTAACATTTCGTAGAATTAGCATGATTATGTGATCTAATGATGAAAATGGTTGAGTGATCATGAGGTAGAATGAAATTAGCATATGGGTTGGTTTTGTTGATTTATTGTGTGGGTTATGAGTAAGTAGTCGAGCTTGCAAACTCGTACTGTCTACTTAGATTTGGAGTAAGCCATTAGGCTTACTAATCCTGTTTTGCTTGAATAACTCGGAGTAAGCTCCTCAGTGTACATTTCATTCTGCTATGACCGAGGGTGCAAAAGCACTACGAATGCTTCTAAGCATATAGTGTATAAGTGAGCCTACGGGTTAATGATTATTGACAGGTGTCTAAGTGAACTATTAATGAAAAGAGGTGAATACATAAGAATAGGAAAAAGGGCTTCACGATGCATCGGTATAGTAGTGTGTCCTGTTTGTATCGATAGGGGTAAATTCCACTATACTCCTGTTTGAGCGCTCGTGCTCCGCACCGTGCCGATTGGGTGACGACCCACGGTACTCATGTTTTGTTCAGTTAGCCGGGCTGGGGTAATCTCGTGGCGACTCTTGTTTTCTATCGGTCCGGGTTGCGTCCCGCGATACTCTTGTTAGTGCGAGCACTCCTGTTTCGTGCCTCGTGCACTCCTATTTATACCGGACTGGGTTTTGTCCCACGGTACTCCAGTTATCTGATGGCTGTACATGGTTACCCTGCAGCTTTCCACTACTGTACTACCCGGGGAGGATATCATTTAGCAAATTTGAAAGTGAAATTGTATAAGTAAAATGTCTCTGTCTGTCATATGTTGTATGTGTTTTGACTGTGATGGGATGTGAATATGTGAACTTTATTGATTCAGTGGAATGAAAAGTGGGATAAACAACTTAAGTCCTGTTATGTGCTAGGGTGTTTCTGCCCGATCTGAGCTTAGAATTTATTCACTGAGCGACGACTCATCCTCCGTCACCATTTTTCCTCATATCAAGAGCAGAAGTAAGGCGTGTACTGTAGATATCGGGACTCAAGCTTGAAGGGAAGCCATGAGGTGGGCGGAGGACTCCGAACTCCTTGAATGTTTTATGTTGTGTGGATTTTGTAATAAAGCAGACTTCCCCGGTTTTCTGTTTCGACTCTATTGAAAATGTAAATTATGGTTTGAAGTTCGAAAAAAAATACATATATAAAGCTCGGGCCCGAGAATGTTTAAACTCGATGTTTGTTTTACTATTTCGTTTTGTAATGTAAAGTATGGGTGTTTTTAACATTTTTGGTCAAGAGCTTAGAATTTATTCAATGAGCGACGACTCATCCTCCGTCACTATTTTTCCTCAGATCAAGAGCAGAAGTAAGGCGTGTACTGTAGATATCGGGAGTCAAGCTTGAAGGGAAGCCATGAGGTGGGCGGAGGACTCCGAACTCCTTGAATGTTTTATGTTGTGTGGATTTTGTAATAAAGCAGACTTCCCCGGTTTTCTGTCTCGACTCTATTGAAAATGTAAATTATGGTTTGAAGTTCGAAAAATAATACATATATAAAGCTCGGGCCCGAGAATGTTTAAACTCGATGTTTGTTTTACTATTTCGTTTTGTAATGTAAAGTATGAGTGTTTTTAACATTTTTGGTATCAGAGCTGGGATATGATCCCGTGGATACCAAACGTTTTAAACGAGATTTTACTGGGAAAACTTAAATGATTTCACGGGGAAGTGACTAATTATTGATTTTGACTTTGTATTTTGTTTTTGTGGAGTTCAGTCAAGGAGCAAATCCGCAACCTCACGGGAATCCTAATGCTGGAGGTTCTAATTTTAATGGGAATAATGCTGAGTCCCGCAATAGAGCCAATCCTTATGTCAAGGATTTTGAAAAGCTGAGGAATATGGGGGCTGAGTTCTTTAAAGGGGCTATTGACCCTAAAGATGCTCTGGACTGGATCAAGGAGATGGAACGAATCTTTAACCTCCTTGAGTGTCCTGATGAAGCAAGAGTGGAGTATATGTACTACCTGCTCAGGTCTGATGCTTATGACTGGTGGATGACCGTACCCGGAGCTCAGGATCGTACAATTCGGTATACCTGGGCGGAATTTCTTGAGAAATTCCGTAAGCAATATGTGCCTGATCTGTATGTGGATAGTAAGAAGAAAGAGTTTCTGGACCTGAAACAACAAAGGGGGCAGACTGTTAAAGAGTATGATGCCATTTTCCATCGTTTGATGACCTTCGCGATGGAGTTGGTACCTACTAAAAACGAGCTAGATGCAACCGCTATGAGCAAGGCCTGAATCCCCAGATCAAGATGATAGTAGCAAAATCAGAGATGAATGATCTTGCCACCTTGAGAGAGGCTGCCATGAGAGCAGAGGATTTGGTGAACAAATTGGGAGCACAGATGGCTGAAGGAAGGAAGAGAAAGTGGAAGAACGTGGGTTCCTCGAGTGCTGGGAACTCATTCGGGGGTAGACCTAATCAGAGTCAGAAGGTTTCACGTCCAGTGGCCAGTTACCCCGGACAGGAGCGGAGAAGTGCAGGCCCAGCTCCTATTTGCCCACATTGTGGGAATCAGCATATGGGTGTTTGTAGGAGGGTGACTGGTGGGTGTTTCCGATGTGGAGACACTAGCCACTTTCTCCGCGATTGTCCCCACATGTCAGAGTCCAGGCCTGCTGGATCCCAGACTACAATTCAAGGGTCCAGAAGGACTGGAGGTCCAGTGAGAGGATCAAGAAGAGGTGGTAATAATCGTGGCAAAAGTCAGGGTGGACAAAGAAGTCAGGGTGAAGTGCAGCCACGAGCCTTTGCTATGACTAGGAGGGAGGCTGACATCTCCCCAGAGGTCGTTACTGGTACGGTTCTTATCTATGATCTTATCGCTTATGCGTTGATTGATCCTGGTGCTACTCATTCATTCATATCTTCTGCATTCTCACGTGGGTTGCCTGTGCACTCTGAAATGTTGAACAAGAATGTAATAGTTCAAATCCCAGTAGGAGATACCGTAGTGATTGAATATACCTATCCTGATGCCCCAATAAGTATAGCTGGAACTATTCTGCCAGCTAACTTATTGAGGTTAATGCTGACTGAATTTGATATAATTCTAGGAATGGATTGGTTAAGCCAACATAAAGCCATAATGAAATGTTATACCAAGGAAGTAATTTTCGAAAGACCAGATGGCCAGAATGTGATTTTTCGAGGGACTAGACAGGTGGTGCCTAGTTGCCTAGTCTCGGCCACCAAGGTGGTGAGTTTGATGAAGGAAGGCTGTGAAGTGTATCTGGCTTATGTGACTGAGGGCAAACCGGAATTGAAACCTGAAAATGTTCCGGTTGTGAAGGAGTTCCTGGATGTGTTCCCTTCGGAACTACAAGGATTACCTCCGGAAAGGGAAATAGATTTCACTATTGAACTGATACCGGGCATTGCTCCGATCTCTGTATCTCCGTACCGGATGTCTCCGTTAGAACTGAAAGAACTGAAGGAGCAACTTCAAGAGTTGCTAGATAAGGGGTTTATTAGACCTAGTGTCTCCCCTTGGGGCGCTCCGGTATTATTCGTGAAGAAGAAGGATGGAACTTTTCGTATGTGTATTGACTATCGGAAGCTCAACAAGTTAACGGTTAAGAATAAATATCTGTTATCTCAAATTGATGATTTGTTTGACCAACTACAAGGATCGAGGGTCTTTTCCAAGATTGATCTAAGATCAGGTTATCATCAATTAAGGGTAGCGGGTGAGTCCATACCGAAGACAGCTTTTCGTACTAGGTATGGGCATTACGAATTTCTTGTTATGCCTTTCGGGTTGACAAATGCTCCAGCTGTTTTCATGGCACTGATGAACCGAGTGTTTCAGGAATATCTAGATAAGTTCGTGATCATCTTTATTGATGATATTCTAGTGTATTCTGGAAGTGAAGAAGAGCACCGGGAGCATCTAAGAATCGTACTGCAGATTCTGAGGGAAAAGCAGTTGTATGCTAAGTTCAACAAATGTGAATTTTGGATGGATCAAGTAGTATTTTTGGGCCATGTGGTGTCTGAGAGAGGTATAGAGGTGGATCCAAGGAAAGTAGAAGCAGTGATACAATGGGAGCCACCGAAAAATATACCTGAACTAAGAAGTTTCCTTGGCATGGCCGGATACTACAGAAGATTCATTGAGGGGTTTTCTCTGATTGCTGCACCATTGACAAAGTTACTGAGGAAAGAGCAATCTTTTATATGGGATAATAAATGTCAATCCAGTTTTGAAGAGTTGAAGCGAAAGTTAACCACTACACCAGTTCTTTCCCTTCCCTCAGGAACTGGAGGTTATGTGGTATACAGTGATGCTTCGCATCAAGGGTTAGGATGTGTTCTCATGCAGCATGGTAAAGTAATTGCTTATGCTTCCAGGCAATTACGACCGTATGAGAAATCTTATCCGACTCATGATTTAGAACTGGCGGCTGTGGTATTTGCCTTAAAGATTTGGCGTCATTATTTGTATGGTGAGACTTTTCAGATCTTTACTGATCATAAGAGTCTCAAGTACTTGATGGAGCAAAAGAGCTAAATCTTAGGCAAAGGAGGTGGTTAGAGTTGTTGAAAGATTACGACTGTACCATCGAATACCATCCAGGCAAAGCAAATGTTGTGGCAGATGCTTTGAGTCGAAAGACCAAGCATCGTACTAGAAATGAGGAGACTGGTTTAATGGCAAATTTTATTTCTTTCAGAGCTATGAGTGTTGAATTGGAAATGAATTCTGCAGGAGGGTTATTGGCGACTTTACAAGTGCGACCAATTCTGAGAGAAAGAATTATTAAAGTTCAAGGTCAAGACCCTGAATTGAGGAAGATTATTGATAAGAGTCGTAAAGGGGAAGAAACCAAATTCACACTTCGAGATGGAGTTCTGACACTAAATGAAAGACTTTGTGTTCCAAATGTGGACGAATTGTTAAGGGAGATTTTGGAAGAAGCTCATTCCTCTCCTTATGCAATGGATCCTGGAACTACAAAAACGTACTGTTCGTTGAGATTTCATTATTGGTGGCCAAGGATGAAGAAAGAAGTGGCTGAACATGTCTTGACGTGTCTGGTATATCAGAAAGTGAAAGCGGAGCATCAAGCCTCAGCGGGAAAATTGCAACCACTGTCCATTCCAGAATGGAAATGGGAAAAGGTTACCATGGACTTTGTCTATGGTCTACCTAGGACTCAGAAGAAGAACGACGCCATTTGGGTTATTGTGGACCGATTGACAAAGTCGGCTCACTTTATACCCATTAGATGGGGTTGTTCGCTAGAGTTACTGACAAAGAAGTATGTGGAGGAAATAGTGAGACTACATGGAGTACCAGTATCCATCGTCTCTGACAGAGATCCGAGGTTCACTTCTCGATTCTGGAAGAGTTTACAAGAAGCACTAGGTACTCGTCTGAACTTTTCAACCGCTTTTCATCCCCAGACCGATGGACAATCTGAGCGAACAATCCTCACTCTTGAGGAAATGTTGCGAGCTTGTGTACTGGATTTCCAAGGTTCTTGGGATGAACATTTGCCATTGATTGAATTTGCTTATAACAACCAGTACCATAGTAGTATTGGTATGGCTCCATATGAAGCTCTATATGGAAGGAAATGCAGATCCCCAGTGTGGTGGGATGAGGAAGGGTTAAGGCAATTGGAGGGACCTGAAATCGTTCAGGTAACAGTGGATAAGATTAAAGTGATGAGAAGCCGGTTGAAGGCCACACAAAACCGGCAAAAGAGCTATGCTGATATTCACCGAAGAGAGATGGAATTTCATAGTGGAGAGAAAGTATTTTTGAAAGTGTCTCCTTGGAGAGGTTTTGAGATTCCAGAAGAAGGGTAAGTTAAGTCCGAGGTATATCGGACCTTATGAGATTCGGGAAAAGATAGGTCCGGCAGCCTATCGACTTGCCTTACCACCGGAATTGTCTCAAGTTCACAATGTCTTCCATGTGAGTTTGCTTCGAAGATACCGATCGAATCCGTCTCATGTACTGGAACCAGATAAGATTGAGGTCAAGAAAGATCTAAACTATGTGGAGGAACCAAAAGAAATCATGGATCGAAAGATGAAACAATTTAGGAATCGAAGTATTCCTATGGTGAAAGTAATTTGGAAAAGTCACACTGGAGAAGAAGCCACGTGGGAGACGGAAGAAAGCATGAGAGCACAATAACCCTACTTGTTTCAAGGTAAATTTCGGGACGAAATTTTAATTAGAGGGGAGGAAATGTAACATCCCTGCCCTTGTACAAATTATTATGACGTGTTTGTGATCAGGTTACAAATATTGGTCTTTTGAACCAAAAAGAAAGTGAATAGTGAAAGTTTTAGACTTAATTGCAAGTGAAGGAAAGTTTAGGGCCAAATGGACAATTTGGAGGGCTGGAGAATTCTAGATAAGGGAGATAAAAATCTGCCTCATCCTCTTATCTCTCATTTTCTTCTCATCCCTTCCCCTCACTCTCCCACGTCCCTCTCTTGCTCTCTTTCTTCCACCTGGTTTCACCACCCCAAAAACCACCATCCCTTTTCAGAAACAAGTAGTAGATAGATAGAGAGAAAAGAATATCAAGGAAAGAAAGAAGAAGGGAAACAAGGGGTGCTGCCAATTTTCGTCCAGCAGCAGGACAGCTTGTGGGAAGGACGATTCTGGACACTTGAACCGTTGGATCGTTCTGAATATTGGAGGTTTTGTTTCATATGTCCTTTTCTAAGATTGGACCGTTCAGATCATTGTTATGATCTCTGGTTCATCTAGGAATATCGCTGGACAGAAGGGGTGCGACATTGCTTTCCTGTAGCAGGACAGCAGATTAGAGGTAAGATCTTGTACGAAGTAGCCGTTGGATCTTTCTAGAAATTTGTTAAATTGTTAAGTATATGTGTTTCTTTGAGTGGACCGTTCGGAACTTAGATTTGATTTCGGAGTGGTCATGAACAATTGTTAGAAGTAGGGGAGTTGGATTGAAGTGAGAAGAAAGTAGCTGACAGTTTCGAAACGTCAATTTAAAATTATTTCCGGGCTCAAAATAATGATCTAAATGGTCTGAAATTTGGATATGTTGTAGCCCTATGAATCTAGTTTCAGTAGCAACAATAATCAACTGATTTGGTTAAGTATCAAGGTAGAAATGACCGAAATGATGAAGCGGGGTAAAGTGTACGGTCGTATGACTTCCCTAGTGGCCTTATCGACATGCATGAACACAACCATGATTTTGATAACTGTATACGTATTTTGGTGCTTGAATAACTTGGAAATCTTGTATATAAAGGTAAGGAGCAAGCCGGGGGCTCATCCAAAGGCAAGGGTATAGCCGAGTGAAGATAAACTGTGAGTAGATTCTAATCTTAAATCTACTTCAACATAATAACAGTATTCGGGTCATGAAGCGGCCCGAATACATATCGGGGTCATGAAGCGGCTCCGGTATAATATGTGAACTCATGGGAATTGATATGGCTAGGTGATATGGCTTATTGGTGCTTATTCCTTATTTGCATTTGGTATGAAGTTGGAAATGCATGAATTGTGGAAGGGATATGGAAAGACATTTTGTTGGTTGATCTTGTGTATGCCTCTGCAAATTTCTACTGTGCCTCTGCAAATCACTGCTGCCTCTGCAACTAACATTTCGTAGAATTAGCATGATTATGTGATCTAATGATGAAAATGGTTGAGTGATCATGAGGTAGAATGATATTACCATATGGGTTGGTTTTGTTGATTTATTGTGTGGGTTATGAGTAAGTAGTCGAGCTTGCGAACTCGTCCTGTCTACTTAGATTTGGAGTAAGCCATTAGGCTTACTAATCCTGTTTTGCTTGAATAACTCGGAGTAAGCTCCCCAGTGTACATTTCATTCTGCTATGACCGAGGGTGCAAAAGCACTATGAATGCTTCTAAGCATATAGTGTATAAGTGAGCCTACGGGTTAATGATTATTGACAGGTGTCTAAGTGAACTATTAATGAAAAGAGGTGAATACATAAGAATAGGAAAAAGGGCTTCATGATGCCTCGGTACAGTAGTGTGTCATGTTTGTATCGATAGGGGTAAATCCCAAGATACTCATGTTTGAGCGCTCGTGCTCCGCACCGTGCCGATTGGGTGACGACTGCACGGTACTCATGTTCTGTTCAGTTAGCCGGGCTGGGGTAATCCCGTGGCGACTCCTGTTTTCTATCGGTCCGGGTTGCGTCCCGCGATACTCCTGTTAGTGCGAGCACTCCTGTTTCGTGCCTTGTGCACTCCTATTTATATCGGACTGGGTTTTGTCCCGCGGTACTCCAGTTATCTGATGGCTGTACATGGTTACCCTGCAGCCTTCCACTACTGTACTACCCGGGGAGGATATCATTTAGCAAATTTGAAAGTGAAATTGTATAAGTAAAATGTCTCTGCCTGTCATATGTTGCTTTGACTGTGATGGGATGTGAATATGTGAACTTTATTGATTCAGTGGAATGAAAAGTGGGATAAACAACTTAAGTCCTGTTATGTGCTAGGGTGTTTCTGCCCGATACTGTTTTTGTATTGATGTCGATCTAAGCTTAGAATTTATTCACTGAGCGAGACTCATCCTCCATCACCATTTTTCCTCAGATCAAGAGCAGAAGTAAGGCGTGTACTGTAGATATCGGGACTCAAGCTTGAAGGGAAGCCATGAGGTGGGCGGAGGACTCCGAACTCCTTGAATGTTATATGTTGTGTGGATTTTGTAATAAAGCAGACTTCCCCGGTTTTCTGTTTCGACTCTATTGAAAATGTAAATTATGGTTTGAAGTTCGAAAAAAAATACATATATAAAGCTCGGGCCCGAGAATGTTTAAACTCGATGTTTGTTTTACTATTTCGTGTTGTAATGTAAAGTATGGGTGTTTTTAACATTTATGCCACTGTAAGAATATCGGATCTCAGCGTCTCCGTCTTGGGTTCTGTAACAAAGATTAGTAATAGATAAGACGGGATTTGGGAAGAATTTTAGAGGGGTTAGGAGTTGAGTTGAGAAAAGAAGATAGAAGAACCAACGGCTCCAAGAGGAAGAGTAGGAGGGGTGACGCACGTTCCAAACCAAGCTCTAAAACTCGGTTAAAACTCTCTATCTACCCAACCTATAACAGGTATACCTAAGTTGGCGAAGTAGTAAAGCCATGATAGAGGTCGTATTCTCAAGGGTCCCATAGATTAATTACTACTCCAGGCCTCGACCTACTATCTAGTCAAACGGGATGGTTAATGTTTTAAGTATGAACAAACAAAGAAACAAAACTAAAATTGAGGAAGATCACAAGAGATAGAATGTTGCTTAGGGTGAATCACTCTAGCTATAGGTTGATACGAGCAAAATCAAATTACATTTTGAGGTGTAGAGGTCACTATGATGGTCACACAACCGACCCCTCTTCTAGCTGTGTCTACCAGTCCACTGTCACTACAACTTGTTTCCCCGACTCCTCTAAATGGGTTTCATCCTTCCACACACAAGTATGGTAAGTCAATGGTTATGCACTTACCCAACAAGCATCAATTAGGTGTGCTTCTAACTAGAGGGGTTGATCACCTCTTCCTTTAGTTAGGCCTCTACTTCATCTAATCAAGGTAAGAAGCATTCAACATACATCTACTCCCTAATTAGAGAAAATTTTCTAGAAACACCACTAAAAAGAAAAAAAATTCCAAAAATACCACCCATTTTTTAAATTTTTCAAAAAATACCGCAAATTTTCGCAAAAATCGCCAAGTAGGGGCGGTTTTGTTGACCGCTCGGGGTCGGGCGGTTTGGCCCAAAGACGCTGCCCCACCCTGCGGTTTGGTCCATAATTTTTTTTCGATAAATTCCAACCTAGGTGGAAACTTCAAACAAATGTATCTTTGTGCTCGAGTATCCGATCGTAGCGATATATTTTTTGATTTCGCATAACTCTGCAAGATCTTGCAAGCCGCAAATGTCTGTAGGAAGTTTATTCCCGCCTTCGTCCCAAAAAATGTAGTTTGCTACCCCGAACGAGCTTTTATTCGATTTCGCCAACTTTGGACGACCATAACTTTGTGCTCCAAAATACGAACTTCATGAATTTTTTTATATTTTGCATAACATTTGAAGGAATACAATTTTTATCATAGACATAATTTCAGAATGTACATGGATTTGTGAAAAGTGAAGGTGAAGTTATTCTTAAAACTCCATATATCCAAAAATAATTCATGTTTTGAAAATTCCTTCCTTGTAAAAGTTGTAGTCCTTAAAAAGTTATATGAAATGAAAAAAATATTGTGACGTTCGGATTTTTTAGCACAAAGTTATTGGCGTCCAAAGTTTGGCAAAATTGGAAAAAAAAGCTCGTTCGGTGTAGCAAAATACATTTTTAAGGACGAAGGCGGGATCAAACCTCCTACGACCGTGTGCGGCTTGCAGATCTCGAAAAATTATTGAAAATCAAAAAACGTTTCGCTACGATATGATACTCGAGCACATAGATACCTTTGTTTGAAGTTTCCACCTAGGTTAGGATTTATCAAAAAAAAAATTATTGACCAAACCGCAGGGTTGGCCAGCGATTTTGAACCAAACCGCCCCGTAACTAGTGATGGCAATGGGGCAGGGCGGGTACCTCAATTCCCATGCCCCGCCCCACGCTATTACGGGTCGGGGCGGGGCGGGTCGACCCACTCTTACATGTTGTTAAAAAAAAATACAAGTAAATTTTACTTTTTACAATAAAACGTAGGGAAAAACACTTTAAGAATGAAAATTATTGATAATAGAATGGATAATTGAGCCTAACAAGTTGAAAATCGACTCTAACTAGTTGAAGAAAAGTCAAAATAGGAGAAATATGTATAGATATGGTAAGAAATTGAGATAAAATGAGTCTAGAATGGGGCGGGGCGAGGTAGGGAGGGTCGGAAGTAGATACCCATGCCCCGCCCCACGCTACTGCGGGTCGGGTAATACCCGCCCCATCGCGGGTCAGATCGGGTAATACCCGCGGGGCGGGTTGAAATTGCCATCACTACCCGTAACCATGCAATTTTCAATGTTTTCATTGAAAACCGCGCCCCACCCAGCGCTTTTCTAGAAAGGGTGGTATTTTTTATAAAAATAGTGTTATTTCTCGGAAAAAAATTCCTAATTAGAAGCATTAAGCACTATAATTAAACATAAACATGCCATATCTTAAAATGTAAGATAATGATGGCTTCCTTATCATCTAAGTTGCAACCAAATGGCAAATGGGACATAGACAATCCCACACTAGTTGATGTATGCTCTAATATGTACCTAAGTAGGTGTTTTATCTCACCTAAGTCAAGAACAAGCAAAGATCACTCACACTAAAGCAAGAGATTGATATGAATTAACATCAAATATACATAGAAATGTAGGTTCACAATCATCCTTACACATTACTCATAACCAATCTACAAGCTAGGGTTCATCTTCCTAAACAATAAGAGAAGGTAAAACATAAAGAGAGAAAGAATGTACAAAAGGGAAGATGGAAAATCCATGGCTAGACCCTTCTTCTCTTTCTCGCTTTGATCACTCTTTTTGAATCTTGGGAGCAATTGTGGTTATTATGAAGAAGAATTCACCCAAAAATCCTCCAAACTCGTCACTCTCACTCTACATCTTCTCATACGATGTTTTTCTCTCTCTACCCCTTTTGCTCAAAATAGCCCCCTTCTATTTATAGACCCTCACATGTCAAAGTTCACGGCCTAGAGTTCACGACGGTGAACTTTGACAAGAGTTTGTGTACTTTTGATGGGAAGGGGAAGATTGCAGCCTCGACGCAATAGTTCGTGACCGTGAACTTTGAAAGGAGGCCGCAAACTCTTGGGAAGGAGAAGTTTGCAACCTTGGCACATTCGTTCGCGGTCGGGAACTCTTGTCATCACTTGGTGAACTCTTGGAAAAGTTTGCTGCCTTGGATAGAAGTTTGCACCCGCAATCTTTTGTCGCGTTCGTGAACTTTTCTCACGGTCCAACTTGTCGTGGCTGCGAGGCGGGTCGCAATACCTTTTGTACTCATCGTGGACAGGGGAGGGAAACGGTAACCCAGTCCCATTTGGAGAGAAAACTCCATCCCATGTCTCAAATTCGTACGGGTTAACGGGTACCCATTACCCGTACAGGACGGATAACGGGTACCCAAACTACTCGTTTATAGACGTCCAACATGAGAAGAATACCAAAATTAGAAAAACTTAAAAGACATTGTCGCCACCTGCCAGCATGAAAATGGGCATTATATTTCATTTAACATGGATGCTTAAACGAGCCGTATGCTTAAACGAGCTGCAGAAAAAATGAGCAG